AGGCCATTTAAAAACGAATTCAATATTTAAAAAAATATCTCTTTTTTCTCGTTAACACTTCAACAGCTGGAGGAAGCAACACCCCTTCTCACACAAGGAACAGCAGGCTAAAAGAAAAGAAATAATCCTCTGGAAATCAGTTCCTTAGGGGCGACCTAATCCAAGCCACATTTCCTACGTGCAGCTGAACAGCACTTAGCTTTGACTCCCAGCAGCGTCCCGCACACACGCACCCCCCCACCCCAGCTGCAAGTTCCAGTTCGAACTGTGTAAACTGGGAAGAAACTTCTGAAGTACGGGCAAAACCAGCGTAGGGCTGGTGGGCTCTAACTCCTCAAGAAGCCACCAGAAACGAAGAGCCCCTTGAGCATCCCTCAACGCCAAGGTCTCGCGGGATGCCCTGGCACGGGCAGGGTCCCCGGCGGAGGCGCGGGAGCTGATGCCCGTCGCCGTTTTTTTTTTTTTTTTTTTTTTTTAGTTTTAGTTACCTTTTATTAAAGCCCGAGAACACTGTAGCCTCAGCTGACGGCACGGGTACCTTCCCAGACTGAGAGAAAACCTTCCCCACGGTTCCCCGCAGCTGGACTAAGACTCTGCCACTGCAACCATCTCTCCGTGGCTGGGAAGTCGCGGCTGCAGGGAAGAGCTCAGCTGCAACGCCGCTACCCCTCGAGGGCTCTGCTCTCGGGGCAGACCCACAGCGGAGGAGCCCATGGAGGAGCCCAATTTATTCCCCTGCCTGAGCCGCCCGCAGGGAGCGGGCTCGGAGAACAACAAAGCCGCTTCTTAGGAGTTTCAATCCAGTTGAAGGGTCTTTAAAGTTGGTTCAACAGTGACAGAGTCCCTTTGAACTTAGTATCCACAGAGGGTGCTATTAAAAACAAAAGCTTGTTTACCAGAACATGGTATCTGAGATGGAAAACACTGCAAATACTGAAGGAAGTTTAAAAAAAAAAAAAAAAGAAAAAAAATAAAAATCCACCTAGGATGACTTAAATCCCCCCCATTTTTGGCCGGGAGCATGTTGCAGGGCTGAGCAGGGCTGGTTCCCCTCTCGGTTGGGAAGGTTTCTCATTCAGAAAGAGGAACCCAAGGGGTAAGGAAGCGCCTGGCCGCCGGCTCCTGCCCGCCCCTGCCCTACTCTTGAGCAATCCCCGCGGGACGCTGCTCCGTGAACACCCCTACCGACTGACTGCCTGGGAGCCCAAAGGCTTAAAAACAAGCTAAGAAGAGCGATAATTGAACAGGGGTTTAGTACAAGGACCAAGAGACTACTGCGGCACAGCCATCACTTGCAGAAATGGGCAGCCATCACTTGCAGAAACAGGCAGCCACGGCTCCACAGCTGGACTCGACAATCTTAAAGGTCTTCTCCAACCTAAACGATTCTATGATTCCACTGACGCGACCACTCCGTCTGTATCTGCAGAATACTGGCATGTGAAATAGATTCACGCGGTACCTCGTTTGACTGTAGCTACTCTTTAGGAAAGCAAACTCCTGGTCACCGTGGCTGTATGTGTCCTTTGCGGGAAGGGTTTATCTCCCGTGGCGGACTGCAACAGGCGTGACTGATCACGGGCTCGAAAGAGCACAAGCAACCAGAGACACAGAAAAATCCCATATCCAGTGCTGGGAACGATGAGAAACTTTCTGTGAAGTCTCTGCTGCTCCCCTCGCCCCCCGTGACACATGACATTCCACATTTGAGGAAAAACAAGCAGCAAGGAGGTCTTTCACAGGCATGTATTCTCTCTTTTTCCATACCGAAACCCAGCTGAAGAGGGCAAGCCCCCGAGGGCAGCAGACACTCCTGGCTGCTGATCTGAGTTACGAGCTGTGGCACTGGACAGCAGATGCTGCTAACAGCAGTTTCCTCCACTGGAGTGAAAATTACTTTAGTTGCGTTTTCTTTATAAAATGCAATCCGGTTTTACCCCCTTACTCATTATCTCCCTAACCTCCAGGAAAAAATAACCCGACGTCTTACAGCCATGTCACCAAGCTCTGGTGGAGGGGAACTGTCGGGGTCAATAAGTCATGGATAAAAGAAATCAGGTTTTTGAAAGGTAAACTTTGAGATGTGAGCTGTGGCTGACCAAATTCGACATTTTTGTCATTCTGTGCTGGTACCTGGGTTCAGTTTCTCCCTATACCTCTATTGCTGTGGAGAGGCTGGCGAGATCACCATGAAACGGACGGTGTCAATGCCAGAGCCAGCAGGTTAGTACAAGAGAAAGATCTTTAGCAGCCAGTGAAGAATCATGTAAATTCATCAAGAGCAAGCAAGCGAGTTAAGGATTTAATTAAGATCAGGTAATTAATAAAAAAAAATATTTCTCCGTGTGACATCTCCTCTTTAAAACCAGTGTGAAAGGTTCGCCAAGAGGATGTTGTGTAGTGATGGCTCTTCATCACTGATGAAAGTCATTTAAAGATGCGTCCAAAACAAGCAACCCCCCCGCCTTTGGGAGATTTGGACCTATTTCTGAGCTCTCTGTGGCTTGGACCCGAGTGCTAATTTACGTTGGATTGAGGTGGCTGAGAGCTAAAATCCCTTTCCTTTGCATCACAAGTAATTCTGCTGGTACATATTAGCACTGAGAGCCCCGACGCTGAACCCAGGCCCTGCGGGAAACCAGCCCCGAGCCCATTACAGCCAAAAAACTGCAGACCAAGTGGTAGGTGACAGACTGAGGTTCTCTCTCGATGAAACAGGTCCAGCATAAGCAGCAATTTCCCATCACTACCCTGCCAAAACATCTCAGCCTTCAGCTGGAAGAGGATTCCAAAAATTGAGTTCAGGTTTTATGGTTCACGACCTTATTTATGCAAATGCATCTCCACAGGCCCTGGATCTGAGATGCTCCAATTCATTGCACATAGGTCCCTGAACAGCCAGGCACTGGCCGTGACTTTGGGTTCTGCACTGTAGATGTACCCAAACCAGCTGCAACTCTCCACAGGCTAACTTAGGTCCAGGAGAACTCGACACTAACACGTGTAAAGCGGTACCTGAGCTGGCATGGGCATCTCTGCCATGGAATAGGCAACCTGACGGCAAAGGTTTTCAGCGTGGTGATTGTCTCACCTATTCCTCCTGCACTGCCTCAAAGCAAAGACGCGTGGTTGGCGAAGCAAGAGCAAAGAGCTGCACGGAGACACTCGCTGACACAGCCACGGTCACTGTCACACGCACTTGAACAGAAGCTACCACCTGCTATATCACACACTCTTTTTTTGCTAAAGAGCTTCTTAGAAGGACAAAGCATGAGCTAGTACCATTGGTGTCCTTAATGCCTCTTCATCCAACATAACTCTAGGCTAAGAGGAGAATCCAGTAGAAAGCATTAGCTCTTGGAGGATCCCGGCTTCCAAACAGCTTAGTTTACAAAAATATCAAGGAGAAAAAGTAGTTCAACAACCCATTTGCACGAAGCACAAGCACAACGAAGATCCGTAACAGAGACTGAAGCAGCTCCCTTGTGGGAAAAAGATGCTTTTGATTTCCAACTATCACCTTGAGCGCAGAGGCATGATGAGCAAATTGTTCAAGAATGCAGTTTTGCTGAAAAGGTGATGCTTCTGACCAAATAAAGCAAGATGTTCCTAAGAGGACAGTTTTGATTACTTGGGAACTAGAGGAATTTTGGGTGGGCTCAGGGGATGGGACTGCACCACCCACAACAGCAAAACAAGATTTCACACATGGATCATGGTTAATGCTCAAAGACGGCTCCCGGAACGGGAGGATGTTGGTGGGGGCATCTCACCAAGCCAAACCTGATGCTGCAGTTTTGCACGAAGGAGGAACAGGCCCACAGTCCCTGCTTCCTAGAGCAAAACAGACCATCTACAGCAGACCGAGCTTAAAGCCAGGCTCCAGCCATCCGGGGACATCTGCCCCTTTCTACACCCCCAGACCCATTGGTCCCATCTCCGCTGCACGTTCCAGAAAGAGACGCAGCATAACGAAGGGCGCGGTGACAGGCAACGCACAGACCGGCCCCAGGGAACGAGCCAAGGGAATCCCACCCTTATTTTCTCTTTGCAAATGGGTTAGGGGCAAACACGAATCACGCCGAGGGCAACGAACGCGGCCATGTGGAGAGCATGCTGTTGCTCATCCCATGCTGGATGACAGCCTATCTACAGAAAAACACGGGGTGAACCAGACAAGGACTTGGCTGCCTGCTAATTGCAATTCCCTGGGTTTATCCGGAGGAACTCCATCCTCAGGCCTGCACCTGCCCCAGTGCTAATTCACAGGGCCAGGGATGGGCATTCTGGTGAAGAGCATCCCGGAGGACTGGCTCAATAGCAGGGAGATGGCTTGGATCTGAGAGCTAAAAGCCAGGCGGTGGCAGGGGACCCCGAGTGCTCGTCAGGAACGCAGTGAAAGTCAGACGAGGCCTCCCCACGTCATTTCTCTGACACTAATTCTGCTCTGCCTTGTCTCACCTAAGTCACTGCCAGCGGACGAAGTCCAAAGCGTCCAGCAGCATGTATTTTGGTATGAGTTTGTGTGTGTGAGCCGACATCAGCCAACCTTTGCTTCCCAGCCACGCGCCCTTGCCCAGGTAAAGCAGGTGGGCCAGGCTCAGGACCACCCTGCGGCTCTGCGACGGCCCCAGCCCCAGGCACGTTCACACAGCTGGCAACACTCAAACTGGGCTCGTGAGCGGATCCGCCGTCGTCCGGGGGATCCCAGACCCAAACCAAGTAAGCCTACACAGAACTGACGTACAGCCCTCGGTATCACACACACACACACACACACACAGAGGCTGATCGGACTCGCTGCTGCCGGACAGGCAGGGCCCCTTTGAAGCTGTCGGCAGGAATTCCTCCTCCTGGCCCACGTTCGTACCAAGAACTTCTCATCACAGGGTTGCTCATCTGCCAGGCTAAAGGGTGGCGACGGAGGGGCTGGAGGAGGCGAGGCAAGGCAGAGCTGGGGGCATGGTGTCAGACACGAAGCAGCTCCGACGGGGTGCTCCAGTGCCTAGGTTTCGTTTACGAGGGATCAGAAGCGTTTTCTCCTTGTGTCGTCTTAAAATAATATTGTGCGTTTCCTTGAGCTGAATGTCTCTGCTTTTCCCGCTTATGATTCTTGCGGAACCACTTCCATCAGTTTCTGGCAGAGGACTGTTGCGGAGACTATGGGGAAGAAAGCAAAGCGCATCTCAGAGATCACACGCAGGGGCCCAACACGTATCTTGGTCTCGGTTCATGATACTCTGCCTCAAAAGGGCATTTGCCTCCCCACCGTGGTTCTGAGCAAGATTAGTCCAAATACAATTTAAGACTTGAAAGCAAACGAGCCACGGGCTACTCTCTATGCATGCCCAGAACTTAAACATGCGACACTGGGAGCTTGGCTCCCGCAGCAGGGATGCTGTGCGGCCCCGAGAGAGGCCCCGGTACTTCTTGGCACCAGTTTCTAATCGCGTGGTGATACGGTAACTACATTTGGATGCCAGAACTGCCAGCAGCCAAAACTGAGTCAGGCACAATAGAAGGAATGGGCATAGAAAATAGAAAATATGAGCCGATGCTTTTACTTCCAATTTTGAAAACCTCGGCTGTATGTGCACCCAGCTTCTTTAAAGGCTCGAGTACCCAGGACCAAACCACTCAGCATACCGAACACAAGGCAGAGTCCCCTGCCTTGCAGAGAGCGGGTGAGGAGCAAAAGAAGCATTTCAGGTGCAAGCTGGCTCAGGAAAGGTGCTAAACTGGAAGAACTTTATTTTTCCACCCATTGGTTTTGGTGGCCGGTATCCAAACACACCTGTGCTTTCTGCTGCTTCACTCTGTGTTTGGAGATCACAAGCTAGTCTTGCCAGGTAAAGCTAACGCTGATTCTAACTACACACAAAGTCAAACTCAGATCAGTTGGAGGTGATCAAATTATCTGCAATATATGAATATACACGTCTTTAAAGTTCATATGTTTCTAACTGGACATTTGCAGGATTATCATTCTGTGTTCCGAGAATATTTTCTATATTCTCCTTACAAGCCTTTGGTGGTGGAAAACAATTAATATGGTAATTTGCCACCCACGGACTGCAAAAATGGCTTTTCCAGGAACTGAGCCTAATACTCAGAATAAAAAAAGTGAGTGTGGGAGAGAGAGAGAGATGGGGGGGGGGGGGGGGGGGGGAGAAAGAGGAGATCAAAAGAAACAAGAGCCCAAAAAAAAAAGAGAGAGAGGGGGAGAGAGGGAGAGGGGGGGGGGGGGGGGGAGGAAGGAGTAACAAGTGCTGAGCACTGTTAAAAGCCTTTTTCTTCTTCATAAAAAGCATCCAGCTAAGGCTGGGCATTGCTACTCGTCTGCTTTTCTAGGTCAGCCTGTTGCATGCGAGCTGGGAGGCAGATGGTAAAGTTTATTTACTTGGACAACACGGATTGACTTTCTTGATTCAGTTGTTCAGACTGAGGCTACGTGTGCCAAGCACAGCCTCCCCATCCCCTCAAAACACTCTGTGGTGTAGTGCCAGCTGTTGGAAAACCTTATACAGAGACACCTGAAAAATAAACCTCGTAAGAGAAAACATCAGGGGATTCTCCCCTCCCTCTGCTCTGCTGCCGCATTTTGATGCCAAGGAGAGCTTTGACTGGATCAGAAACGTTAGCGCTGGCTAAGCGATGGATTGGGACTAATTCTGAATTTTCAGCAGTCAAATTGAGGCCAACTGCGCTCAGCCTGTTACGCTGTTACTCCTTTTCCCTTCCTACACCACTAGAAAGGGATTCTCTGCTGACAAAAGGCTTGACCCTGTGCTTTTACAGGAGGCAGAAGAAAGGCAGCAATGCGCTCAGCGAATTACGCTCCACTGCATAACAACAACCGGTTTGCCAAGATTAAAAAAAAAAAAAAACAACATGGTATTTGCCCAAACTTTGCAATTATCGCAAGTCAGGGTGCGTATTGGGTGCTTGGTAAATCAGGTAATCATCAAGTTAAAACTTGTGACCATTAGAGAAGAACTGATCAGAGCCAAGACACTGGAAGCCTCCACTACAGGAAGGAGAGCCAGGGCTACTAGCTGTAGCATGCTCACCGGGAAGCTGCTATTTTTGGAGCAAAAGCCAAGGCCGCACCCTTGCTCTTCACTGGGAATACTTACAGATGCCTTGGAGAACCCACTTGGGCTTGTTTTGCCACCAGACCCCGAAGAAGTAAACAGGGATCCCACTGGAGATGATTGCAAAGCCAATCGCACATTCCTTTGGCGTCATCCAGAAGGAAACGGCAATGAGAAACAAGCAGGCCAGGATGAAGAAAATGGGCAGGCACATGTTCACCTGCACAAGGACCCAAAGAACAGGTTAGAAGTTGTATCAGGGGACGAGGGTACACTCTCCAGTGAAGTTTATCTAGCTGTACAGCCCGGGGAGGGAAGGAGTTCATGTTCCACCATGGACCCCTGCGTGGACGGTGCTCCTGTCTGTCCCAGGGCTCTGAACAAGGGGACCATGACCTTGAACTGCCATGGGGAAGGTATCGACGTAGGCAGCGCCCTTCATCAATCCTGAAGAAAACAGACGTAGGCTAACACCTAACACGTCCATTTAAAAACAGCCCAACAAAGGGCAGAGACGCGGCTTGCCAAGAGCCTTTCTTGGCACCCTTTTTTGACCCCAGTTCCAGACTTGAATGATCCCTTCTAAAAAGCACCTGTACCAACAGCATCAAATTCAGCAGCAGCCACGGCACAAGCCATAGCATCTTCACGGCAGCTGCGCAGGGGGCTCGGCTACACTGCTCCGAGCAGGGCACCCGCCGAGAGCAGCCCAGCTTTTAGAAGAAAAACCGAAAAACGAAGGAAACACCCCACAAAGAGTTACTTTGGGAAGGCACTGGTACAGGTCTGTGAGTTTGTTTCTCTCTGGCTGCCTGTTGCCTGGCAGAGACCCGAGTGTGCTGGGGGATGACTGAGAAACATGCCTTTAAGGAAGGCAGACATGCTTGTGGCTGACATGATCTTGGCCTCTGCCCAGATGGGACACGGTACTTGCTGCCAAGCTGGCCAAGGACAAAGAGAACGAAGTTCTCATCTCTGCAGGCGTGGGTTTGTCTGCTTTATTAAAAAACTATTTTAAGTGAATTCCATGATGGTACAGAGTGTTTCACTGAGAGCCACAGCCTGTAATTTTTCCTGGGGAATATGTTAGTCCCACTGGGCTACCCCACCAGAACACCCCGCATCCCTGACGCCCAGAGCCTCCTTCACTCCCATGTCCCCACGGCCACGGCAGCTCTTCGTCCTCCTGCACCCATTCGCACTCGTCGGATTTCCCTGCAGCAGGGGCACCTGCGTTAGCTACAACACAACGTTTCCGCTGCACGCTTGCAATCCCAGTCCCTCTTCCGTACAGGACAAGCAGCCGTCCTTGCTGAACCCTCCCTGGTGCTGGGAAGGGACTCAGGGGGGACCCACCACGCAATTACCACGCTGTTCTCACCTTGATGGGCCTTTCCAGCTCTGGCTTCTTGTAACGCAGCCACATCATGCCGATGATGGCCAGAGCCACGCACAGCCAGTTAAAGAAGCTGAAGAAGTTGATGACTGAGAAAATGTTGTTGGAGAAGGCATAGAGCAGGGTCATGATGCACTGCATCCAGAAAAAAAAAGCCATTAGCAAAGGGAGTAGGCAAAACCACATATGTTACAACACTAAATCCAGGTATTTTAGAAGAACTATCTGCCAGGAAAGAATCAGGTTGATCATTTTTTACTTATTTAAGCTATTTTCAATAGGTGCCTGGAGCAATTTCAAACCAGAAGTGGAATAAGAGGACATGATGAGAAGGGTCTGTCCTCTCCTGTAGGTGCATGCAGAAATGGCTGTGTCTGGAGACGGTGCCCAAGTGGCCCCGCTCCAACCACTCTGATGGGATCCTACCCCTGACCCGTTTCTCAATACCAGGTCGATGCTCATCACCACAGACCCAGGTGCTTACCGTAAAGATGAGGGACGGCACGGGAGTGAGAAGCCTGGGGTGAATCATAGACAGGATTGACGGCAAGTGTCCTTCTCGGGATCCCACGAAGAACAGCCTGAGGTGGGGAAGACAGAGCCGTTATCACCGCTGCAACCTTCAGTCCCGGGCTGGGGTTTGTCTTTAGCACAAAACAAGTGGGGACAGCCCGAGCTGAGTGCTGAGGCAGCGAGACTGAAAGGCCCAGGCTCCACGCAGGTTTTTCCACCTTAGTGGTGCCTTGCACGACGCCAGCTGGGCCCTTTTGCTATCACTGCTTCAGGAGTGGGGCCCTCCACGATCAGACCCCAGCACGGGGTGTTCTGCGCGTACACCGTGGGAAGTCCCTGCCTTAGAAGGAAGGCTGGAGACGGACAAAGAATGCAAGAAAAGAAGTATTTATATCCTCCTTTCCAGAGAGAGCAATTAAGTGGCTTTCCTAAGACAACCTGGGAGATGTGTGTCAGAGCTGGAACCATCTCAGTCCCCGTCCTGCCCCGTCCTTTCTCCCCTTTCTGGAGAGATTCTCAGCCCTGAAGTTTCATAAGCTTCTGGTCTTCATTAAAGCCACTTTCTCAGGAAACATCACTGAGCCGGCTAAGACCACTGAAACGGTTTCCTTTAAACTGGATATGGTTTAAGACTTACTTTTTTTTTCCCCCACATTCCCCACATGGCCTCCAGACCCTTTAGACTTTGTGTCTACCCACAGCCACTCTTGGGAGGACAACTCCAAACGAAGAGGCATTATGCATGACTTCTAAACAAAAACCACAAAATTGAGCAAGAAACCTACCGGGAAGAAGTGAAGAGAGATCCATTAACAGATCCAAAGCACGATAAGCCAACAAAGACGGGTATGATCCAGGACATGACACCAAGGTGATAGTTCCCAAAATCCTAAATGGGGGGCAACAAGACAGACGTTTCACACCCTGAATGTCCAAAAGAACTCACAGCTGCCTACAAAGACTTAGGATTTGTAGAAATCTGAACGGAGTTTTCCATATTGCCGTCTGCTGCTCCTCCTGCCTGAAAAAGCATACTGTGGAATTGCAGAATAATCAGCAGAAAGCCCTTCCCTCAGAGTCAGGACACAAGATTTATCACAACGGCTATCCAAAAGTTCAAAGGGAAAGTGCCAGGAGATTCAGACACGCAGCTATTGCCAACTGCTGAGTAAGGACCCTGGGACACAGCCCCTTAGAAACACAGTGACCTGGAGCTGCAGTTTTATATCACAAACTGACCCTGCCCTGCTTCACAGCAGTGTTACGCCAACGCTATCATATTGATTTCAAGGCTTGCAAAGGCACACAACTAGAGCAACGCAACACAGGCCGGCATCCCCAATAACTCAGCACCGCGTACGTGCAGGGCCGGAGCGGGGCTGGGTACCAATCCGAAGGATGGAGCGCTGTCACCTGAATGGCCCAGACCAGCTTATCCTGGACCGGGAGATTCCCTTTGAAGCACTGAACAATCCTGGTCACGCTCAGTTTGCAAGGTCAGACCACGCTGCTCACTTCTGAAGCAACCAGGATTTCTGACCGCAATGGCATTTTAATTAATAGAAGTATTATTTTTCTCTCTTAATTAAAACAAGGAAGATACAGAGGGAGAACAACCTAGTTCAGTATTGACTGAATGACCTTTTCCCATAAATATCATGCTCTGGTAACTGATGATAAGTCATGAGGCCAGCAGCAAGCTTGCATATTTACAAATTAAGAGCAGCGTTAACTGTCTGCCCACCCTTACTATCGTCTGTGATTAATCCCACTTGGTATCACACTGTTCTTGCCTGCTCCCCTCACAGTTGTTCTTTATCTCCCGTCAAACATCAGCTTTTTTGTAAGCAGCCATGATCAGCATGGAACAAACCAGGAGATGCGCGCAGAGATTGTCAGTCTGATTGAACCAGCGCTGGAAAAGAGATGAGTCACATCAGAAATGCACCTATCTTACCACAGCCACGGCTTCGGACGTCAGCATCTCGTCCGTCGACAGGGTCGTGAAGTAAGCCAAGTTTGTCAGCACATAAACCAAAGTGACTACAGGTAGTGAGATGATGATAGCCAGAGGCAGGTTTCTAGGAAGAAAATAGAAATTGTAACAGAGCGCTGCAGTTCAGGGAAGAGAGGTGGTGATGCCAGGGATCGGTGGCTCGTGCTGCAGCCCTCCCGCGCTCACTTAAAGTTGGCTCGAGCCATTCTGCTCCTCTTGGGCTCTTCAGCGTGTCCAGTTTCCCAGCCACAGGCTGCTCCGCCAGGAGAGGAGGAGATGCCCACGCGGGAACAGGCTGGGGGCTGACAGATGTAGAGTGAAGGATTATGGCAGAAGGGACTTTTTGCATGGAGAGACTCTGGCTGCCCGGGCAAGCAGTAATCCAAGATCACTGCAAAGGCAATTAATTAAAAATAACCCCCCGTGTCTCTTGCTAGCCAGCGGTATTAGCACGGGCATTCTGTTCTGGGCAAAGGAGAGGCATTTGTGCTGGTGGGTTTCTTGCGGGAGATGGAAAGATCAGGGATTTAGCGGGCAGTTTTTAGGCTCTAACTCTGTGCAGCTGGCTGGACTGATAAAACCCAAAGAAAATGAGTTCAGACACAGTCTGAGTGGGTCTGTAAAGACGAGGCTGTGTTGGTACAAATTTGCCTTTCCAAATAGTCTAACTTCATTTGCGAACGGAAACTGAAGGAGGAAACCCTGCTTGATGCCACGTGTAATTGGTCCAGTGGAGCTCAAAGCCACAGGAGGAGAGAGTCAAATACCACGACTGCATTCAGAAGACGAGAAAATAATTGCAATCTGCAAAAACTTTTTTATAACTGTGTCAAGGAAAGGGCGTATCAAATCTTATGCTTCCCAGCAGGCGCTAATCACTGCCAGGGTCAGCCAGGAATGGGCTCCTGCACAAGTGACCCTGAAGCTCGTATTGACAGTGCCTCGTAGGCACCTTCCCTGTGAGCAAAAATGATTTATCAGCGCTGTCCTGCTTGGTGTGGCCCACCCTCGTCTCCCCATAACCCTGAAAGGCATGAGCAGTGCAGAAAGCGGCTATCGCTCCAGAGAGCAGGAAGAGCATGGCAAACATATGCACACACAAATGCTCTTGTGGGAGTTTATACAAGACAGCAATAAAGCCATGAGTGTTTCTTCCTCGCCTGTAATTCAGAGAGGTGCCATGCCAAGGAAGCAGGACTTTCCAACAACGCTGATAGTATCAGCAGTCCAGGAAAGCAGCGTATGCAACAGCCCTTCTCATACAGAGATTATTATTCCCCTTCCCCTATGCCAGGGAGGAACAATGCCATTAATTTACCTAATTTTCTATTTCCCTAGAAAAAGACCTTGGCTTCTGGGCTGATTAGCAACCCCTGTTACACACATGAGGAAAGGGCTTCCCAAGAAGAAGTTTTCCTCCCAGGGAAGTCATCACAGGATGCACACGTACCTGTAGGGATTTATCATCTCTTCTGTCACAAAATTCAAGTAATTCCTGTAATTTAAAAAGAACAGTGGTTAATTCTGGTTAGTCCATGGAATAAGTGAAGCCCTTCATCTTACTCACCTGCAAAGGAGTTTCAGGAGCAGTAGCGAGACTGAAACCTGCGGTAGAACTTACGATGGCTGATGCCTAGTCCGAGACCTAGGGCGCAAAGCCTGCGGAGCGCGCGCCCTGGACGGTGCTGGTGGACCAAGCGCACCAGGCTGCCAGCTTCCCCGCAGCAGGAGGGGTGCCTGGGTGAAGAGCTGGACCCAGGAGCAACAGGGCCACCCTCCAGGTGACACGGATGGCTGCAACCGGCCTGTCTTCACAGCAAACTGAGCAGCCTCCTTGTGCCTGTAAGTGCTCAAAGGGACTGATAAAGCTCTCCAGGAGCTTCAGTTTGGTGCTCTGCATCTGTTGGCACGTAACATCTCTCTGCTAGCTAAACCCACCCTGCTGCTTTCTCTTATCACCACCGAGGAGCTGCACCAAGGAACCCGTCGTCTGCTGCCTCTTCTACACCCCATGATCACCACCCCTTCTTTGTGCTTCTGTGTCCTGGCTGGACAGTGTGACTATAATAGCACGACTATTAACATTACTAGGCAAACCCAAAGCATCTGCCTCATTGCCCAGGTTACGAGAAAGACGGAAAGTCCTGGACCACACTCTTCCTGCAAACACTGTCTGGGGACAAAGGAATGAACTACAGTATTTAGCACTGGAAAGAGATACAGGGCTGCATCTTACCATCCTCCGTAGGCAAAGAGACCGCTGTACAAAGCTAATACGATGTTCCCCACGCCTACTTTTGTGCCTTTGAAGGAGTTCTCAGGAGTCAGGTTTGTCACATCACCTGCAGAAAACAAAAAGAAAGGATCGATGCAGACGGACTGTGAAGCCCAAGGGCCCTTGTGGGTGTTGAGACAGAGAAACCCGGAGGCAGAAGCTGCTCTTAGGATACTGAATTATCACGCTGATGCATTTCGGGTTATGCTAGAAGAGCATGTGCACATATTTCTGTTGAGCTGATTCCGCCAGTTTTACAGTGCTTAATTCATCCGGAGCAATGCACCAAATAATCTGCCCCAAATACACTTGTCTGAAGCAACTGGCCACTACTGAGTCCTCAGAACTTTCTCACAACACGCTATCACCGAGCTAATCTCCCAGATATCTTCTCTCTGCGAAGAAAACACTCTGGGGACCTTCCTGCTGGAAGATGCTATGCAAACAGATATTGTCACATTGTCCTCTCAACTGAAAGCTGCTTTCATTTGATATAAACCTCAGGATTTCCTCCGCTTCCACCAGCCACCCAATACAGCAGAAACCCAGGATTTCCTCTAGTCCCACCAGCCACCTGATAAAGCAGCGGGCTGTGGCAACCTCTTTGATTGTGGGAAGTCAGGTTCTTTGGGGCTCGAATATCAGAAGTCAGCTTCTTTAGCACTTGAATATCAAAAGTTCCTGTTATGTATCAGCTTTTGAAATAAAAAGCCATAAATAGACAACTTGATTGTACCTCTGGTAAGACCTCTCCCGGAGCAGCCAAGGGTTTATTTATTTTGCTTTAAGATGCCCTGCTGTTGTTTTGTTCCCTGCCTTTTGATGTGGAGCCTGGGTGTAGGCCTGGGCTGGCGAAGCCACGCTCGCCTCCCCGGGCCCAGCGCTCCCCTCGGGGAGGACGGAAGCGGGGAGCGAGGCAGGATTCGGCGGGGCACGTTTGCATCCAGGGAGCCCAGGCGAAGTCCACGTGATTCCTCTTAGCGCACAGATCTTTACTAATCGCCCGAGCAACTGCATCACACGGCAGTCAGCAGGACCTGGAGCTTAACCCTTCATCTCTTAGCACAAGGTACCCAGGACCTGCATCTGGGGAAAGGGGAGGGATGCTAACACACCAGGCTTTTTTCCTCTGGATGGCCTCTCTTCCCATCTCACGCTGGAAACTTTCACTCCCCTGCACCACCAAAGGCCGTGTTTGCAGAGGCTGGGTTACAAATATGGATGCACAGACCTTTTAACGCCTCACACTCATCTTTCTCACAGTGGGAAAGGGGGACTTTTCCCAACGGCGCTATCGGTCTGCTGGTGCATCTTCTGTTTGTGGGGCTTCGCAAGGGACTGCTCCAACTCTGTGCTGGTGACACGGAGCTGCCCTGTGCACGTGGGAGAGCTACATCTTGTCCTTCCCCCTCTCTGCCTCACCCTCCAGCTCTATCCCCATCCTTTCCACCCTGGGCATTGCTCCCTTCACCACCTTTCTCCCTCCTGCTCCTGCCGAGTCCTAACCAGGGCAAAAAGATATTCCCTAACATGGTGTCCAAAATGCTCTCTGCTCACAAAACCACCCAGAAAACCAGCTCGCCTCTGCCTTCTTCCCTGCTTGCTTGCTATCCCATTTGCAAGGGGACGCCGTGGGGGTGAGCTGCAAAAGAGCCAGGGCCACAGCAGCAACATGTGCTCTGGGCAATCAGGTCTGGGAAACACCACTTTTCCAAGGCTCTACTTGTCCAGACCCCACTGCAGATTGCAGTTCTCCACTGGTGCTGCCTTGTCCCTCTCTCCCAGCACCTCCTTGCTAAGGAGGCCTTTTCTGAATCTACCTTGGGATATGCTGCTTTTTTTAATGCCCCTTTAGCCAGTGAGTCTCCTTAGCAAAATGCACCAATCGTTTTTAAAAAGTGAGGTTAGAACATGTACATCAGAGCGTACCAGGAAAGCCAGGACATGCAAAGAGACTGATCTAATGCTGCGAGTTTCACCTTAATTCCTGGCTTATAGGTTCAGTCATATAATCTTAATTTAGCATTAATGCCCCAGCTTGGCTGTGAACGATAAGGCTGAGCAGGAGGTGGGTGTGCATGGTATCACATTCTGCTCGATCCCTCGGGCTCAGCTTTCCTGAGTTTATTTTCTGCTCCTCCTGAATAATTACCAGTCTAATTCTTTCCAGGTCTTTTGTTATGGGAATAAGATATACTTTTTGTTAACAGTGACTGTAATTAGCTACGGGAACGGCACACGGATGGACTAGGAGAGCAGGAGAGCTCTCCAGGCATTTCAGACACCCCTCGGGACGTCTCTTCTCCAAGGTCTGCTTGTGCTCTGCCAGCAGCCCAGCTCCCAGCCAGGCCGAGGGATCACCACCTTTACGGCCTCGGGAGGATGCTCTGATCCAGGAGGAGCCAGGGCACAAGCAGCACCACGCGGTGCGCTCACACCTCCATTTCTTGTCCACAACCGGACACCAGCTTCCACCGAAAGTCTCTTTCTGTTTGTCACAGGCAAAAAGCTCTCAGGCCAAATGTTCCTTTTTCTGAGGCACCTGCAGGTTTCGCTCTGTGCCTTCCCAAACCCCACACAGAAACCGTGTGCTGGTGCCTCCAAGGAAGGGCTGAGCTGCCGCCCTCGCCCAGCTGGCCAGGAGGGGTGGAGAGCATCGGTGGTCCCCAGCCCAAAACCACATCCCTGGATTCAGAATGTGCCACCCGCTTGGGAACTGCGGGCATCTTCAGCCTCTGGGCAAGGAAGGGTCCAAGCCCAATTCGGTGGCCTGCTGGGCTGTACAGACACTCCGGCTGTGTGTCGGGACTGCCTGCCCTCCAGGACACAGGAGCAAAGAGGAGGGAAGAGCAGCGCGGGACCGCTACGGCAGCAGCACCGAAGCAAAGAAATTAAAACAAAGGCTGACATTTCATTCCAGTGTGGGTGGGCAGGGATGGCAGAGGGATGGATGGGTGCGACACAGCTAATTACTCGCACACCTCTTCTTTGCATCCGCTGCAGCATGCGCCTACCCCATCTCTTTGAAGCACCAAAACGTGGCTACCGGCAAAGGAGCGGCAAGGCAGCGCGGAGGCAGCCGGGAGAGGGGACGAGGGAGGGAGGAAGGAAGGGGCTTTTTGTTCCTCCTCAACACTTGAGGAGCTGACAACTCGCTGCCCTCTCCCTGCCTCACCGAGCAAGGGTTGGAGCTCTCCAAAAACTTGCAGCGAGTTGCTAAACTTCACGTCTTCATTCTCCCATGGTGAAATGGATTTAGCAACATGTCAGAACACGGTTAAATAACCAGAGGAGCCAAGATCTATCTCTTCCCACTCCAAGGGGACACGCTCGTATTCTCAGGTGTCCGCATGATGCTCTTTTGCTACAACTTTGGCTTCTTTCATGCTTTATCGCTTCTTGGTTGCATGACAGAAGCCTGGGCTCCTTAACAAACACGCTCCAAAGATCGCATCCCAGCAGAGCAGCTGTCCTCTCCCACCGTCACCACAAAGCTCTGTCCCACCCTGCCGGCCAACGGATCACCAGAAAGATAATAGTTTGTGCCCACCAGCAACGCCTTTACAGACATAACTGGCACCACATCATACGTCCTGGGGCAAAAAAGCCAAGCTCCAGCAGTGATGCCAGAAGGGTATCCCAGATACAGTGGGTGAGCTCTGACTGTACCCGTCTTGCCCTGATCTTGTTAGCAGCCCCACGCACAATTAGACCGAGGTTCGAGCAGTCGTCAGACAGATCTTGGAAGACAAATCCATCACACAAAGATACCTCCTCTGGTGCAGAAGACCCAGAGGTGCACTGGGGGCTGAGAAAGTGTCCGGAAAGCACCACGTGTCCCCCTTGAGCTTACACTTACCCATTGATGCTTGCCATTGACCCCAGCTGAGACTGGGGATACTGGGTAGGTGGTCCAGCATGGTCATGCTTACCTCCTTCCTCTAATACAAACGCTCATTAGGACCTGCTGTTCAAAATGGAGGTAGGAACCTCAGTTCCAGACACTCTGCATCTTTCAAGCCTGAACGTGCAATTCAAGCCTCCAGCCTTTGGAGGTTTGAATTACAGACTTTGGATCAAATCAAGGGTTACAAATCTGCAGGTGAGGCTGCCAAGCACGGCCTCGACTGCTCCCCCAGAGCAAGAGGTCCGTGAGCGGGAGCACCCCGGGCGAAGGCGTGCTCTGCCCGCCCTGCCGGCTCCCCCGTCCTCCCCAGCCCACGCAGCCGCGGCGGCTCTCTAGGCAATGCCCTGCCCGTGCCCGGCACCCCAGCGATCTGAAACCTGGTTTGAACTGGCTGTTCAACTGCACTCTGCTCTACAATTAACCAAATTAAGGTAACGAGCTCTGACATAAACCCCATTTGCTGATCTTGCCAGCTGCCAAGACTCTGCTAATTGCGCCGGCGAGCGATGGGTCACCTGGGGCCTTTCTACAGGAGGGACCTATTTCAGGTCCATGCACTGCATGTTCAGACCTTTTCTTTGAAAATGTTCATTTGCTCCCCAGTCCTGTCCATTCCGGTTTTAATAGCACAGCAATCTTCTCTTGCAGAAAGCATTTAATGATAATTAAATATTTTTAACTTGCCTAAAGAGCGAGGAGAGGGAACACAGCCATCTAGAGAGCTCAGCAAGAGAAGGGGAGGCCCTCAGCGCGTCTTGCTCGTGGAGGAAACCGAGCCAGGGAGAAATGTGTTGTGTACATGAAAAACCCCAGAGGAGAAGATCCACTCAGCTGTTGAGCCATTTCCTAAGAAAAGCAGCGAGAGTTCAAGCGACTGAGTCAGAAAAACAAGACGGCAAGAAACACCCAGGGGCCGAGGTCCGGAGAGCATCCCTCCGGCAGCTCGCGGCTGCCCAGGAAACACACGCTCGGTAGCCACATAAGCGTTTGCTCCTCTCTGATCGCTGCCACTCTGCAGACGGCTTTGCATTAAGCAGTTTTGAGCAGCAGCTCTTAAATTTGGGTCCCGCAGCAGACGAATTTATGGGTCTGAAAGACACCACCAGAAACCTTGGACCAGCAGAGAGGGCATCCAAGAAGGAGCCGGAGCTCTTGGGTTA